ATAGATCACCGTATCGGAATATTTCGTTGCGGGTAGTAAACGATCCATTTTCCGTACCCTAGGTGAAAGAATTAGAGCGCCGCCACCATGGGGGCCCAAGAACAATGCCGAACGTTGTGAAACCAGCGAAAATATATTATAAACGGTCGTTAGGCCGTCATGTGGCGACAAATAATTAAGATGTCTGAAAACAGAATTATAGAGAGAGAAAAACATTGCCGGAATTTAAGCACAACTGTGTTAAAGAATTGTTTATTATGCAATAAACCGTAATAATTAAGAAAGTATGGTAGTTAGTATCAGATATAAAAATTAAAAAAAAGGTGGGTAAGTGGATGTCGCTCTGCTGTACAGTAGGTTACAAGTGGGTCACTGTATAATTGATGCTATTAAATTTGAATTCAATGATACAATATCATTGTATAAGAAAAACGATTCTGAGCGAAGACGGTATGTCAGTCTAGGTTAAGACAAATTATATACATATCTATGGTATTAAAAAAAAATTGACCTATAATAAATTCCAAATTAATCATATCACATTATCACAATATCCATTAGGTACTTATAACACGTTATACACTAACAACAAACCCTGATACTATCATATATATATAATAGTAAACTTTAGAAGTTTCAAGTAGGTACCCACGAATAATATTATATAATCACAACAAAATAACTAGGTTTTTTAATATGTAATTTCGTCCAAATTTGAAAATAAAATGACTATAAAAATAAACTGTGATTGTATATTTTTTAGATTTTTCGGTAAGAGAATTAACTACTTACGTGGAATCTTGTTTTAAATTTTCAATCCTAAGCTATAAAAACTGAACATTTTATAATTTATTAATTACGATGATTAATAATTTTCGAGATTTTGAAAAATTCTGTCAAAATTCGATGTTAAAATGCTTATAAAAAAAAATTGTGCCTATGTATTTTTAATATTTTTCAACTAATATTGTAACAATATATCAGGAGCCTTGTATTAAATTTTTACACTTTTTGGCCCAACAGATAAAACTTAATTGATATTTATAGAAAAAAAAACTAAAAAAATTGAAAACTGAAAATGTCCGTAAACGGCTCAAAAAGAGTCAAAATATTTTCAAAATTGTATGGTGTATAGGAAATGCTAATATAAACATTCAGTGAAATTTTCATGTATCTACAGTAATTCGTTTTTAATTACAACAAAAAAAGGAAATTGCCACATGAGAAATCGAGTGAATATCCAATGTTGTAAAAATTTGAATTTCAAACGCTCATAAAAATTTAATTTGACTTTCCTGTAGAGATTTTTTTATTGATAAAGGTAGACAATCTTATGAGTAATCTTGTATTAGATTTTCAAATCTTAGATTTAAAAAGAAAAATTTTTACGAATTCTTAACTCAAAATAATTTGCTAATTTTCGTGATTTTTCCATATTTTGTCAATTTTTGAACTTTAAATGCTTATAAAAAAAATTGTGACTAAGGATTTTTAATATTTTTCATCTGCCTTTGAAACAATATATTAGGAGCCTTCTATTAAATTTTCAAGCTTTCGCAACCAACAAATAAAATTTTATTGATATTTCTAGAAAAAAAACTAAAAAAAAACTAAAAATGAAAATGTCCCTAAACTGTTCAAAATAAATCAAAATATTTTGAAAATGTTATCGTGTATAGAAGATGCAAATATAAACAACCAGTGAAAATTGCATGTGCCTACGGTCATTTGTTTTAAAGTTACACCAAAAACCAAATTCAATTTTCTGAAAAATCGATTTTGCGTAAAATTCCCGTTTTTCCTTAATTTTTCTTTTGTTTTTCCCGGCGCTCTTGAAAACTACTGGGAAATTTAAATTTTGACCTCCCCAATGCACCAACGATATTCACTTTCCAATCGAACAAGATACTGAAGTCGAAAATCGAAGCATTATTTCGACTACTTATCGTGTACACAGACACAAAAAAATAAAAAATAAAATAAAAAATAAAATAAAAAATAAAATAAAAAATAAAATAAAAAAAAAAATAAAAAAAAAAACACACATCATTGTAAAATCAATACATTCATCGTTTCACTCAGAATCTAAAAACCGTTGAGATACAGCCAATGATGCACTGTAATTTGTGAGCCATGTGTTCCCGTTATTTTAAATAATCCAAATAAATAGTTGTATCTAGAACAGGATAATATGTAATCAATATTCGTCTAATATTTCGGAGAAAAATGACGACGATTCATAAGAAATACCGGCTGGAGAGAAAGTATCCTCTGTCGTACAGACTCCACTAGGCACGGATTAAGTGCATTTCCTAATATAATAAAAAGCAAGGTGACTAAAAAACACTAAAGAAATAAAAACCTATGTGTCACCGCGCAATTATAGTAATCCCATGTTACCACAAAAAAACCTGTAGGTTATGTACATTTTAATACAATATTCAAATTAACCTAGGCACTTCCAAGAAAACTAAAAATATAAATTATGACCAATGGGCAATGACCATGTTAACACACAAGGCATTATCACCACTGTATATTAATATTGTTTAGTTGATCGGTTTGTAAAATGCAAACGTTAAATCAGGTACTTTACTTATATTAATTTTTAACCAAATCATAAACACTTGGATTAAATAATGATGATTTAATAAAAATGTATTTCTAGTAAAAATTCTATAAGGTTTTGTCGCTTATTTTCAAACAAAATGTCACTCATTTAATTAATTAATATTATATTCTTTGTGAATATCAGAATACAGAATGTGTATGAGTAGACTGAGTATAGAGTCGTATATAGATCCACTACTACAACACAGTGCAAATATTCACTGAGGCAAAGCGAATTAATTTTTATCACACATGGTTTGCACCAAGAAATAACGAGCAGAGAATTATAAAACCACCCATACAAGATTGAAAATATAATAATAATAATTGCATTAACTATTTGAAGGGATTCTGCATAAAAGTAAAAACCCGGTAAAACACTATACAATATTATGATTTCATATTATTTTAGGCGTACAAAAACGAGTCTTCGGTCACGGTGCAGACCACCCCGGAGGTAAATAATATTTTCGCTAATTTCGTCGGCTGCGCGACGTTTTAAAGAAAAAAGTATAAAACGTTTTTTAACCACCAGAACGTGACTGCGATTCGAGTTCGCATTTACGCATGAATACATCAAATCCTTTAGACAGTCACGCTGACGTCTAGGGTCAAGTCCAAACATTGTCGATTTATTATCGGACAAATTACGATACGTGCATATTATTATACCTAATTATTTTACATTTACACATATTATTATACAATATTAATTTTGAAATCTGTCCCCTATGGATTATACTATACGCACACTGGCCGCCGAAACACACTATAGAAACCGGGCCATTCTAAATGCGCACACAAAAATACACAATACTATCGTGGGCAAGGAAAGCAGAGTGAAAAAAAAATATCGAAGTATTATTTTACACTAAAAGACCTTCGGGTCGTGCAGACACAATAAACACACGGGCACACAACACTGGCCTGTCAATAATATGTTGCACGTCCAGAGTAATACCACCTACACACGTTTTACCTGAGCAAATGCTCACATCCCCATCTTTGTAAAAACTGGAAAACCTTATCCAATACATTGGTTCTCAACAATACATATTTTATTTTAGACTATCGGTTTTGTAGATCTCGTCCGAACGCCGCCGCCGATTTGGCCGTCTGAGATTTTAACGGTGCGCCGAGCGTTGCATGAATATACCCATAAATCATAATAATAGTCCAAGAGTATTGAAAGAAAATAATGTACCTAAGAAGAAAAAATACGAAGGACGCGCAAAATGTGTACAATCGGTAGGAAACAGTTGTATTTCCATGACAAGCGGAAAATCGGTTTCCAAACTCATTAAAAATTCAACAACATAACACCACAAATTTCTGCAACTACAATTCAAATCGTAACAGTACGAAAATATTTGCCTATACAATGTCTACAATACTATTACTATATAGGTACGTAGGATGTAGTACATCTGTACATGATAAATAGTATAATATGTAGTACCTTTATACCCTACTATTTTTGTTTCAAATAATAACGTAAAAAATATTTTTATAGGTAGTGTATATAAAAATAATAAAGAAAAACCGTTTAAAAAAACGTTACTCGCGTAGCATTGTTTTTGTTTACCCTGGCCAGAGTGCAGATAAATAAAGTCTTTGTTTAACGAGTCTCATCTCAAAAGACGCATTAAAAAAATGTAATAATTATTTTTTATTGTTCTTATTGAAAAAGCATTAAATCTACTCAGTTTTTTTTCCAACGTTTATGCTTATCAATCTCTTGGTATCAAAAAAAATATTGTATTATATTATTATAGTACATCAATACCGTATGGTTTTTAATTATCACACTAAAATATTCTAAACTATAAAAAAATAATAATATCAAATATAATATAAAATTTAATAATACCTATATTTTAAGTATTTGAGATTGGGTAGAAAACGGTTGGAATAGGTCGAAAAAATATTATTTGTATGTATCGGCTTCGGCCGAGTGTTTTTCGAACGTCCCATGTTACAAAACTATCTATATATTGGCACAGCGGTGTACGATCCGTTTTTTTCCCGCCGTCGCGTTGTCCAGATTGTTGCCCCGTGCCATAATATAATATTTAATTCAGGTAAAAAAAAAAATGTGGATCCGAAATAAAAGAACGGCGCACACACGTACCACGAGGGGTTTTTCCACATAAAACGAAATTTATCGTTGTCGGTCGAATGTATATTTTTACCTACCCGCACACACACATACACGCATAGGATTTACCGAGCTTAAGACGATCGCGATAAATTTTGAGAGCGTAGAACCCCGCGGGGTCGTCGGGTCGGTCGTTCGCGGACTACATTATTATTTTTTTTTTTCGGATGGAGGACTCTGCGCGACGTATGATTAATATTGATGACAATAGTGAATTTTTAAAACCACCAACCTGATAAGTAGACGACGAAAACGCACAGGAGAATCCTCATGGCTGCGGTTCTGCTGCTGTAGTTATTCGTCGTAGTCCAGTCCGGTCGAGATCAACACCGACACGTCATCGTTGCCGAATATTGGAAAAAACCGATTTGTCGCGTTTCAACGGTCGCACACATCCGCCGGCGGGAGGTCTTGCGAAAAAAAAAATAAAGACGCCACTAAAACGATCTCGAGTGTAATATATTTTGATTGTTAACGTACTGTATTAGTCGCGGGAGAACCGAAATTTTTTTATTATTCGCAATATAAATTTTATAATCGTACGTTACGGTAAGAATTATTATTAATATCGCGATAATATTATTATTGTTGTTATGCTCGCGGACGAATATCTGATACGGAGCGCACGCACAAGAACACACGACACACGCAGGAAGCCACCGGCCGAATGCTGGGCCGTCCGCGTCGCGCTACATGCGGACGTGGTGGGGCCGCCGGCGGAGCCGGTTTTTTTCATCGTTTGCCGCCGTCGCCTGGACGCGCGACCGTAGCGTGTCGACCTCTGCCGGCCATCGGCGATACCAATTTAATAAAAACAATTTACGCGATAATATAAATAAAAATAATGTTAATATAATATTATCGATAATAATTATTTAATATTGTTATGATTATTTATAATATAAAATAGCCGCGTTCAGTGGCTCATTGCGGTGTTGTTGCTTTGTGTTTTTCCAACCCGCGATCGACGCAATAGTTATCGTCCGGGCTAACCTTATCATCGTCATCATCGTTTTTAGACCGATACAACACGTTTATGTGTTATTATAATTTATAATATTATATTATATTGGTGTAAGTGGGAAAATCGTTTTCGTTTAAAAAATATAAACCCCAGACATTTGTGTTTAGACCAGGGGCGCATTAAGGGGGGGGCAAAAGGGGCATTTGCCCCGGGCGGAAGTTTTTTGGGGGCGGTACATTTTTGTAATTTTTTTTTTTTTTGTATCTCAGAGTCAAAAAGAAAACATACAAATTGTATGACATAATGGAAAACTCGGGTTTAAGAAACAACTAATAATAATTAGAACTATCATACTAATGTACTATTAAACGTTATAAATTATGTATATAAAATTATGTCATAGTATGAGATGGGCATTTATATGCAAGCTTCAAACTAGCTCCCTCAGTTTATTTCAGTATTTCACCAATCATTTATAAACTATCGTGGTTTATTGGTTCGGAATTTTTCTTTTCATTACAAATATTGACAACTGTTTACGAATTCACGAATTCATTTTTTTTTTGTCCGTCATCATCTTTTAGGGCATTAAAAGTACTTGGATTTTCTTCAACAGTATCTTTTCTGATAGGAAAGTGAATCTAGTTGGTACTTTGGGGGGGTCAAATTGTTATAAGCATTTAAATTCCAAATATTGACAAAATACGTGAAAATGACGAAAATTTGCAAATTATTTCGAGTTAGAAATTCATAAAAAATTTTCTTTTTAAATCTAAGATATGAAAATGTAATGCGAGATTCCTCATAAGTTTGTCTACCTTTATCAAAAAAAAAAAAATGTCTACAAGAATCTCAAATTAAATTTTTATGAACGTTTGAAATTCATATTTTTACAACATTTGATATTCACTCGATTTCTCGTGTAACGATTTTCTAATTTTGTTGTAATTAAAAAACGAATGACTGTAGATACTTGAAAATTTTACTAAATTTTTATATTAGCATTTCCTATACACCATATAGTTTTGAAAATATTTTGATTCTTTTTGAGCTATTTACGGACATTTTCAGTTTTCAATATTTTAATTTTTTTTTCTATTCATATCAATAAAATTTTATTTGTATGGTAAAAAAGCTTGAAAATTTAATGCAAACCTCCTGATATATTGTTACAATAACACTTGAAAAATATTAAAAATACATAGGCACAATTTTTTTTAATAATTATTTAAAATTCAAATTTTGACAAAATTTATCACATTTAAAATTTAATAATAATTTTATAGTTAAAAATGTATAAAATGTTCAACTTTTATAGCTAATGATTGAAAATATAAACAAGATTCTACGTAAATAGGTTATATATAAATTGCTTTATTCACCTTAGTATCATCAAATATACTTAGTAAAATCATAGGCTGACTAACCGTCTTCGCTCAGAATCGTTTTTCTTATACAATGATGTTAGTATATCATTGAATTCAAATTTAATACCATCGATTATACAGGGACCCACTTGTACCCTACTGTACAGCAGAGCACCTTTTTTTGTTTATCAAACTTAAATAACTTTTATTTTGGTTTTGATATCGGAAATATAAAAACAAAGTTACTGAGTAAATTTTCTCATTTTTATAGTGTGAACATTTAGTTTCTTAGCTTAGAGTAGAGCCTGAATGTTTTTTATACCCGTGCAAAACAGTTTTGCCTATGTTGTACCTACGTCTGTAATACGGAGACAACACATGTGGGTGTACCTAGCGTACCTAGCGTCTTCTTTACAATCATACAGACTATTTGATACATTGCACTTTAGAAATTATTGTATACACTATACAAATTAAATCTAATGCAATGCAGAAATATTATGATTAGGAGGTGTGAACCATAAATTATCCCAGCACCCCCTGAATTCACACCCAATGTGCGCCTATGGCTGTCAATAGAAAATGAGACGATTAGAAGTATTGATTGGTCAAGTATTATAAAAGAGTTTGTGAACAAAAAAATAAGAAAATATTTTAATTAGTATTGTTCCGTATTTGTCATTTAAATAGTTTTATAATATGTAATAATATTTTATTGTTAATAAAGAATAAAGATATATTTATTATTATAAGTCAATGCTTAATACATAGGTACTCCATAAATAACTTAAAATATAGGAGTTGCTTACTAGGAGGTATTTATTAGTTAATGAAATATAAACATTTTACATAATAAATATTCCAATTACCAGTACTATTTTAAAAGAAAGGATTATTATTCCAAGTTCCAAATAGATATTTAGTAATTAATTTAATAAGATATCTATGTAGGTATAATAACTGTATGAAATGTAAGGTACTAACTTAATTTTTCGAGCGCAGCGAGGAAATTTTTTTTAAGTTTTTTATACTTTCATTAATATTCATAAAATACACCAGGGGCGCAAAATAATTTTGCCCCCCATATGTGAACCCTTAATGCGCCCCTGGTTTAGACCGTTCGAGTTTAAAACCCCCGGCCGTTGAATTATTAATCGACGCGTAGGCATCTAAATAATGTAGATCAGTGTATTAAGACGCGCATCGCTGGTGATGATAATTTATTTAATCAACCATCGTCTATCAGAGATCTTCAACAAATTGAAACGAAAATACGGCAAGATGCAAAATATTCAAATGATTGTAGGAAATCAGAGTTGGTTTATAGTTATCAACAGTGGTGCAATTCACAGGGCCGAGATGTCATATACGATATTCTTACTATAATCAGCGATAACACATATTATTATATTATTTGTTTTAATATAATAACAATAAATAATAATGTCTACTCTTTTGAGTTTAGAAAATTCAAATTACGAGTAGGTACCTATATGCGAGAAACCTGTGTACAAATGTTCAATTAGGAATAAATAACTAATAAATAATTATTATTAACTATGAAATGTGAGAAAACAAAATTTTTAGAGTTATGATAAGGTATGACTGTATTTTATTTTTATTGGCATGAAGGGTCCCAGTCTAGATATTTTCACACGGGCCCCTTATTAAGTCGCGCCACTGAAACCGTGAAGCCTGAATATATTAATTGTATTTGCTTTATACTTATAGTTATAGGAGTGAAGAGTAGATAATATTACTATGGATGGGTAAATAAAAATCGAAGTAAGAACATATCCATATGCACTATTCAAAATTGTGAATTATCAATATACCTTGCTTAGTTGCTAGTACCTATATTGTTATAATATTACCTACATTATTATGTTTAACAATTTTATTATATTTTATTTTAAATAAAAAATTGCCACTATAAATTGTTATTATTTTTTTTTCAATTTAAATAGTAAATCAGTTTCAGATATAAGAAAAAAATATAATATGCATGTATCTTTATACGTTTAAAATTATGATTTTCTATGGACCTATATATTATTATTATACTTTTTTCCCTGAATTATTCATTAAATAAAAATAATATGGTATCTGGGTGTGTTCTGAGATACCTATGTAGTCGTGGTGTATTATTATTGTTTTTAATATTTATTATTTACTAGTTTATTACTCATTTGAATATGTGTATTTGAACACAAATTAACCCAAATTATATATAAATGTTAAAAATAAATACCTGAGCAAATCGATACTTATTAAATTAAATATACCTTCAATATTAAAATTAAATTATTGTTGGATAGAAATTAGAATGATCGTTCAAGACCGATGCCATTGTATAAAGTGTAAATCTTAAACCTAGTAGCTACTAGGTGCTAGCTATACTCTGATGTAGCGAACGCGCGTAGCACACTATTTTTTTTATAGATTAATTAGTACTTAATTACATACGAGTATTAAAATAGGACTAATATATAGAACTAATAATCTAATTTAAACTGTTTTGTGATTGATGACGATTAGTGATTTTAAACAATGTAGTATAAATGTATAATATTATAGGTAGTATATACTATTTACCTACATTTTTAACCTTTTTACTCTTTAGTACTAATTTATGTAAAACAAAAATAAACTCGTTATTGGTGCAAGGCAGGTAAAAAAAGTGCCATTAGATTATTATTGTTATTATTTTTTGCTTAGTATAATCGTTTATTTATTTATGAATCATATATATTTTTATATTTACACGAGTGTTTATAGAAATATAAACATTTTATAAAATAAACATTCAGCTGGGTCAGCTAGGCAATCATTTAATCTAAAAATTAAGTTTTGTAAAATCAAAAAGTAAAAAAAAAAGGTGTTCTGATAACATTCTTAGTCTGTAAACTGTTTTTCCACTGCTTAAATGAAATGCCATATC